CCATTCATAATACGCAGGGCTCTTTCAGAATGTGGGGTTTGTATGAAAATACCAAGGTCCATGCATAATACGCACGGTCGAATTCAGTCACTCACTTCGGTCACTTGCGTCGACCGCATTTTGAAAAAGGTTGGGAAAAAAAGATTAGTGAGCATTAGGTTCGCTGATTGGTCAAAACGAGAGAAATGAAACAAGCCGCCAATCAGAGTGAGAAAAAATGATTTAGGAACATTCAGTTTTGCCGATACGTCATATCAGAAATGATGGACGCCAGACTGGACGACAACAACAAATAAACCATCGATTTAAAGTGACGTTCTTAACACTTATATACACTGGTTATTGAAATAGATGCGTTGTCCTTTGTTAGACAAGATAGTCCATTCCGTGGGTGTGATTCTACTGCAACAAGCATGATCTGGTTATTACGGACTTTGACACATAAAATTAATAGAAATAAGGCGGAAAGGAAACATGTGTATTTGGCAACTGCGTGTAAAATATCGATCGGGATTTTTTGAAAATTTTCTATACCAATGTATAATACGCATCCCCTAATTTTGGCGAGGAAATCCGGAACCAGAAGTGCGTATTATACACGGAGAAATACGGTAATTAAGGAAGTTGTATCTTCAGCATGAATGGGCGTTATGTTTTGCTACATTGTGTACTTTTATTACATCTGGCTACTTTTAATACCACTGACAGACTGATTTCGATTCAGTATGTTGTATCGCAGAAACTTTTATTTGTTAATCAAAACAATACACAAAGATTATTTTGGATACAGAAGCACACACGAGGCCAGCTGAATATAGAAACTCTAGTCAACTCTAGGATGACCTTTGACCCTAACTGATAGTTGCCGTAAATTACAATGAGTAAATTGCAAATAATATGCGTCAACATTCTGTTTTGTGCGGTGACAATAAATGGTAACATACTTTGCTGAGCGACAAGTTTCGCGGCGAAATTGCGAACGTCTCCCCTATTGACCGAGGATATCATGAAATAAATAAAAAATGTCAAAATATCAATTGGTGAAGCACAGTTTCGAGTATAATATTTTAAAGAAAATATATTTCACATATATTACACGCATATTATACAGAGTAAATTGAACATTTTATTAATTAATGCACGTGTTATCAGTTATAAGCATTTAGAAAAAGAGAAATCGGGTAATCTTCTCTGACAACCACAATCATTTTTATTATAAAAATTTCTGCCGAAACGAAAGTTTCGAAGAAAAATTTAAACGACTTCTTCAGTAGTTTTACATTTAGTCGCATTGCTTGAATTTAAATTCCTTCCTTGTTGTCTTTTGCCACAACATTTGCGAAAAGAAAAGCAAGGCAGCATTCTCGTCTGCCAGTCTTCGAAGCAAAAAAGCAGACACCACAAGTTGAAAGCTATAATCACATTATAGACCACCCATGATCCAGTTATAGATAACACAACAAATGCGACAATGTCGCTTAAAATTGTTATGGGAGTAATTATCATCGATCTTTTCAATAACTTGATGGAATTCTGTTGTGAACGTTGATCGTTAAAAGATTTTTCTAATCTTTTTCTGTGGCGAAATAACGGAATTATAAACAATGCAAGAGTGGAAATTTGAGTTTCAATTTGATAAAAAAGGAAACAAATCGTCATCCATTTTGAAAAGCAAGAGAAACCAATTATATTATATCGAATGCCTTCATATCCAACCGCAATACTCCCAAACAAATTGAGGAATAACATGAAAAATCCTTGGAACCGACTGAAATTATGCAACGCTTTCGACGAGAGGTGCTTCAGTGATGGTTCGCTGTGAAACATTGTCTGACGGAGCCACAGTATGAGATACTCCGACGTAAACACCCACTGTGATAAAATCACGGCCGCTACGAAGATTGCACTGTTTATATTTAGATGAAACATGAACTCCACCACCATCATAGCTAAAGCAAGGATACCGGTGAAAACAAGTGTAAAATTCATTACAGACCGAAGATTCGACGTCAACAAAAGGTCCGTACACTTATCAAGTCGAAGCTTGAACAATCTTTTCGAAATAAGAACGTAGATCTGACAGAACGTAATGTAAATCAAAAGTATTGTGACAGCCATGGCCACGTAAAAATCCTTGTTGAGTAAATCCTCGAAAGATTCAAAGAAGGTGTTGGAATTGTTCACTGAGCAGTTCATACTTGATTCCGTTTTTTTTGTGATAAAATCTAGATTTCAGCAGCAAATCTCGATTTTGACTGATAACTAATGGCACAACCTATCGAAAAAAATTCTGTCAAAACAAACAGATAAAGTTTGAGATACCTATTTAGCAAAATATAACTATTTACAAGGTTTTGCAGTTCTTGCCACGCTTCTCGCTGTACCAGGTATAAAATCTCAATTATTGGAAATATCACATTTTGATTGATAATGTCTTAGTTTTAAATATTCTTATTTAAATCCAGAATTGTTTAACTCATTTATCGAACACACTTCTTAGATAATTTCTGCTTTTCTTAGCGGATAGAATTCATGCGCTAGACCAGGGTGGCCCAAACCCAGGCCCACGGGCCACATGTGTCCCGCCGCTTCATTATCTGTGGCCCGCGTCACATTCGGAGAGTATAATCAAAATATGGCATTTCGTGTTGTTTCGTAATAAAATAAATCAGAAAAACAATTTTTGACATATTGTTACATCACTAATGTCACTAAATTGACTAGTGTTATGGCTAGCTGAGGCAACTAGCAAAGTTGAATGAGGTGCTTGGCAGTCTAAATTATTATCTGGCTTTCTATCTTTTTGTTCGAGAATATAAGCTTACAATATAGGCATCATAGAAAACTAAAAATAAAATGCAGATTCTAATAGCCTGAGATGGCTATGTCTGATAACTATGTGTTTGCACAATGGAAGAATTTGTTTTGTATTGCACCGTTTACCTATTCTTGGCACTACTGTGGCCCGCGAACAATGCAAAAATAATTTTGTGGCCCGCGGAGCCGGCAACCTTGGACCACCCTGCGCTAGACAGTAACTCAGCCTCAGTAATATCTTACATTGTGTAGATTGCTGAATCGCATCAGCACCGGACTACAACACAAGACCACAACAGCAGGAACAGCCAGAAACGAGGCATATATATTTTATAATTTACATGAATCGTCAGTTTAAAACTGCCTGGGAGCCAGATTGCATTCAGGAAGTGCAATTTGACTCTAAAACTGCAATTAACTTTTTTATTGAATAAAAATAGACGCATTGGCATTTTTGTCGTGACGTCGCGGAAGTTAGTCATAAATAGCAACTTCCTCAATAATGAAGCCCCAAAGCATATTAAAGAAATTGGAAGCACGATCGGACTCGTATATTGAAATACAATGAAAATTTTCTATTTTAAATTGACTTACGTATATGTGACAACGTCCACTCTGTCTCCGTTTATCATATAAATGAGTAAAGCCAAAGTAACCCGATATAAACTCCAAAATTTGATTTTTTCATTTAAAAGTCAAATGTTATTTCCCACTAATTAAAAAATAATACATATATATTGATGATTGCAGTATGAAATTTTCATATATGGTTCTTCGTATGGTTTACGAACAAAAATATGAATTTTAATTAAGAATCTGTCCTGAAGAGATTATAACTGTTTTTTAATCGATCACTGAGTGGAAACGTTTACAGAAAATTAAATTTTTGGACACGAAATGAACCTATGATTCGTTCTGTTTTTATGTTGTTGCTCTTGTAGTATTTTTTCCTCGTTGAAAAAAAAAATTGCTTTTCTCAGTAACTACTGGATCAATTTGCTTTGAAATTTTCATTTGTTAAAGATTGAATATTTTGAATATAAAAATCTTCTGTGGGCTCTATGTGATTCGTTTTTCACTTCGACATTTTGTGTGATGACCTTTTGATAATTATTTGCAGCGGTTCTTCGACATCTCGTGCTACTCTTTCACTACGCAAGTCGGAAGTTTTTGACGGTACCGTACTGCAAAATGTAAGAAAGAGTACTGCTTCCCTTTACATTAGCTTACTATGGCGATGTCATAAGCCAGGGGTCGGCAACCTTTTGTAGCTCGCGGACCAAAATTAAGGTTGTAAATCATTGGCGGGCCGCACATATTTTTAGAAAGTTGAAAAACCGAACGGATGGTACTTTTTATAATAAAAATCGAGCAGTGATACATCTCTTGAATAGAATATAGATTTGTTACCTCATTGCATCTCATAAAATGTTATTAGAATATTTTCAGCGGCATTGAACCCTTTGCACTTAGCATCAAATTTTCTGCGTTTTGTTGCCATTTGTCTAAATATAATTAGTTATAGGCTTAGTAAACGAGTAATTGTGAATTATATAATTGTTAGGTTATAATATAATTTAGTCTAAAGATTATATTCGTCAAAACGGATGTTTTGTTACTATAATTTAGTGAAGCGTCGTGGGCCGGATTATATTGCTCCGCGGGCCGTAGGTTGCCGACCCCTGTCATAAGCAATGACGCAGCGATCGAATTTCACCGCCAGACACAATCGCTCTCGTGGATGGTAATGTTTCCACTAACACAGTTGTTCCCAACCTTTTTTCGGCTCGCGACCCCCTTCGGTGGTTCACACATACCTCGCGACCCCCTGCCTCACGTTCGATACTTATCACTAAAATGAGCGGTAAAGTGAAGGCGCAGTTCTTACTTCATGGTAGCCCTTGTCGTGTTTATGGCGCTATTACCGGTCTATTCACTGAATCGTGTACTGTACCATATTTAAGTTTATCATGCGGAATTATCTACTTGAACATGAAATCTAACCCCAAATCCATCAAAACTGCATCCATGTAAAAAATGTTCAACTTTACCCAATATTTATCACCATCAGGGGCAGACCTGCCATTACAGTCGACATGCCGTGATTACGGCAGCAAAATTTGACCTGATTTTGAGAATTCAATTTGTTGCCGTGGGAACGGTATCTTGCCTGTGGCAGCTAAATGGGTTTGGCCATAGCTGCCATGGTTTTGCAGCAGCTTCAAACCCCACAAAATACTTGAAACTACACTTGGCAAAGTGAATATTGTGTAATTTAATTTTTCATCAACCTGCAGATGAAAATGTAATGATTTTAAAAAATGTTCTTCGACATTGTCTCTGAACAAGGCTTCAGAGAAAAAGATATATCCATGTTGCGAGCTACCACAATTTAGACCAGGGTTGCCAGATCCCAGCGATAAAAAAAGCCAAATCAAGACATAAAAAAAGTCAGAAAAAGCCAACAATTTTACCAAGTACAAAAGCCCCATAATTTGTCGGATTTGAAGTGCTTGGCGCAATACTGATGCTGATGTAGAGCCATCAGTTCATTTAGTGAGCCACACAAATGTCTTTTTCCATTATTGAAAGTTGTATTTTTGATTGCTATCGTGTTGATTTCCACTTCAGCGGGATGAAGGGTTTAAAAGTAAAAAGAATTAATTAAATGGCAGCACCAGAATCTTCATTCTACACAATACAGTCAAGCTGACACTGTGACATCTATATAAAAAAGTTGAAAAAAAAAATAAGAAGGAATATCAAGCGGACAACATTATTTTACAATGCAATATATACATACACTGTACAGGGTGCCGTAGTATGTGATATACCTACTGTTTCTACTTAAACGTGTGATATACCTTGAAAAATTCTCCCTATTTCGTACTTTACTATTGAAAAACTTTTTCAGTTCTCAAATTTTGAAACCATCAATTTCATTAAAAAATTATCTAACCACGCTCCGCTTGCAGGCAGACAGTAAAACGAGGTAATGTTTACAACCTTGCTTGAACATCTGTCTGAGCGGCTGCAGAAACTGCAATTATTTCCTATTGGTTATGGTTAAGCGTTAATTAAGGTAATAAACAAGGAAATCGATGCTCGGGAAAATCCAAAATGTTAAGTAGCTAAGCAATAGACTATTGTTACACACTAAATATTGTATTTCATGTGATTTTAATGATAGACACTGAAATAGACTCAAAAAAGCCAAAAAAACGCCTAAAAGCCAAACGGAAATTCCGACGCCAAACGCGTGTGAAAACGTCAAAAATGGCAAATTTGGTGTTAAAAAAGCCAATATGGCAACCCTGATTTAGACCAGTGGATCTCAAACTTTATGTGTTTGTTTGAAGGAAGCTAAAATATAATTTTATTCTTTTCAGACCCACAAGGTTGTGAGCCTCAGACCGAGAGTTTGGATTACGTCAGAATCGATGGATGCAAGTCTGCAGAACTTGTAAATATAACGGAATGTGCCGGAAGCTGTAGCAGCACCAGTTCGTACTCATCTGATCTCGACAAATACGTCAACAAATGCTCTTGCTGTACGACAGCGACAACACGCAAAGTGGAACTCAACTTGGTGTGCTATGACCAGAGTACCGTAAAGCGCACGATTGAGGTTGCTGAAACATGCGCTTGTCAACAATCTACTTGCTCTCCTTGAATCCGATAGAGGGAGAAAACCAACCAAAACGACGACGATTAACAGAAGAACCTCATTGTAGTTCTACGTAGTTTGCTCGCTTATTCAATTTGTGTGATTGATTCAATAATGATGTTGGCTTAATATGGTGTTAGGGAACTTACGACAGAATAATTAACGACAGAATAATTAACGATGTTTCTGGTGGAATGGTTGAAGTTGGGATATTTGGTGATTACTTAGATGTTTCGTAGAGACCATGAAAGTTCATATAGGCCATTCAATGATATTGTCAACACGTGTACAAAGACTATCGTTACATGCTTTTAATTTTACCTTAAGTCGTGATGAATGCAATAAATTAATATTTTTAAGCATAATCTCGTTTGATTTATTGTTATTGAGAAGGGGTTGTTCGAGCCTAAAGAATGTTTCATTGTGATTCCGCTCTAACAAAAGGTTGAATTACTGTTTTAAACTATTGGTTTTCAACCGCTGGCCCGCGAACCGGTACCGATTACCAGTTGTGAAAATTTTTGTCAGACCCCGAGTGATTTTGTTGTTTTGTTATTGTTTTACCTACGTAATCGCTTGATAACCTAAAAAATGCGAAGTTACTTTTGCTTCATTCGGCGATTCGTCTTCCGTCGTTAAATTAGGCGTTTAACTCTTTGAACCCTGAAAGCCGCTATAGCGGCTTTCCCGAGAAAGTCTTCTGACGCTGAAAGCCGCTTTAGCGGCTTTCGCATCCCGTAAGAGGTATGCAACTTTGAAACCTCATATCTCACGAACCATTTATTATATTTAGACAAGTTTTACATCGTGTGAAAGATAACAGGACAGGACTAAGTATATTTTTAAAATTGAGATAAAATATTGTGATCATCTTATTAAAAATTGGCAAAATTAAAAAGCATAAAAAACTTCTAAAAATTACTCAAATCTAATTGACAAAATTTCAATTTGTTTTCGATTAAACCTAGTACATTATCGACAAAATTTGTAGAATTTGAAGATAGCTTTCCAGTGATACCATTAGATTGAACTTGTGTTGCACCATTCAAATTTTAGAAGCATTTTTATTCGTGATTTTGTTTGTCGCAAGATCGAGGCGACGTCAAGGTGACGTAAATAACGACCTAACACATTTACACCGTTACGCAGCGACGTTAAGCAATTACGTTGGCACGTAACACGTTTACGTTTCATACGAGAAACACTTTTCCTCGCATGCTCGTAACGTCATTTACTTAAGTTCGTACTCGTGAAGCGACTTGTAAACGATACACGGGGAAATTTACGCATTATATACAGCCTCAAAATCTGTTCGACTGAAACACACATTACGCAGTGTTATTGCCGTTTTAATTGCATAAAGATATGAAAAATACGAATAGCAAAAATAAGGATTTCTAAAAACGGAATGATGGAACATATCGATGGATGCATTGTTTAGCGCCATTGCTGAGTTTTATTGTGCCATATTTTCTTCTTCCGATAGATGGATACTATCCAATATTTCATCTGAACAAAGCTTTCGTTTAAAATCCATTGTAAATATAGCGATATCAGGAATGTAGCGTATATGCAGTAATTTCGAAAATCTAATGAGGCTACAAAATGTAAAACACTGACCAGATGAGCTACTGGTGCCACCATGTCTTCCGTGTACCCGTTATCAGTTTTTTTTTATTCAATCTTCATGTTATCCAACGGTGAATAATTAGCCTTGATGTTTCCGGCGGAACCTCATAAATGCATGAGGGTCAAATATTTCGTTTTGGCCATTCATTTTCGTTCCATATTCAAATAGTAAACGTATATAAAAGGGACTTAATATTCTAGCAATTTTACTATGTTCGATCAGAATTCGTCTGAATATAAGGGTTTTATCTGCGGCCGAGGATATGATACTGATGCAATGATGACACAATCTGAACTCAAGCTGTGAACGACCAGATGTGCAATTGCGCAATATACCTCACGCAAAGAGTTACGCACGAAACGTCGCATGAACGTTATCACGACAATGTTGTCGTCGCCCTTTGCGTAGTTACGCAAACTTGGCGTCAAAATAGTTGATCAGTTTTGTTCGCAAACCATTTGAATCGATAGTACAAATTCTGCAATAAAATGAGTTATGCGTATGTTAAGAAAGTCATCCGTATAGTTTCCGAAAGGTAATTTTGTATACTTTTCAAAATTTTACTTATATTGATGATACGTTTCTAAAAAATGTATTAAATATTACCAAAATACAAAAAAATAGTAGATGGGGCTAAAAATAGGCTTACACATCTCATCGAAACATCTCGTGAAAAATATTGCCAGTTAAAAATAAAAGACTAGATAAGCTTTTATATGACATATTACAGACCATCTGATATCTAATGGTTTAGAAGTTATTTTGATTTGAAATTAGGGATATAACAATTTTTTAACGCGTCAAATCGATGCGACGCCGTGGGAGGTCAGGGTGAGAGAGTAGCATCGTTCTGGGGATTCAGAGTTCAAAGAGTTCAAGGATGGAATTGATTGCCGACGACGAGTAATACCACTTTTTCAGGTTCCGATCTATCGCGGAAGTGTTCTGTTAATTCACGATAGCGTTTAAAACCTAAAAATCTACACATACGAGCTTTAGTCCAAGTGAACAGGATATCGCTCGGTCCAATGTTTATACAACTATACTGATTAGAAATTTGTTTAAACCGGAAAAATATTGTCAAACTGTTCAACTTTAAATGTCCGATCGAGATATGTAAAATTTAGATTCGAAATTATTTAAATTTATCTACATTTTAAATCATTTTTACTATTTCTCCAGTAATCCTCAAAAACAACCAAGTTTTACCGCAATCTGTAGTTTACCGCGGTAGTTTTCATACGAAGTCAAGTTCAATTTCCGAATATCTGACGCTCGACCAACGTCACAAATGCCATTACAGTAATGTTAATATGAGACTCTATATTTGCATACAGTGCTATTAATTAATGTCAGTCTTTGTAAATAAGAAATAGTGTGGAAATTCAATTTTAGAATTGCCGTATATTGTTGGATTGTTAAAAGATTTTGGATGGGCCCTTCGCAGATGTATCAAGCTTAGACATTGAACCTTGAAATTTGTTTTCCTATCCCTTACCAATTTCTACCAGATGATAGAGCATGTGGACAGAATCGAATGAAAGTTTTTTCCAAACCCTGTATATAATTGTGTCACTCTTGTGAAACGTCATCGCTATTTTGTGCCCAAAGTCCACCGTCCTACACAAATGTAAAAGTGTATATTTGAGACCACTTGATCGTTTGTTGTTAGAACTGCCTTTTGGCGCTTTAGGATTTATTTTTGTTCTAGTCTTTGCCAAACCATTGAAGTATGTTACTCAAGTACAGGTCATTATATTCTGTTTCATTTATTTCAATAATTTGTTGCCGGTCCGCGAGGTAAAATTCTTTTATGTTTTTATGTTGCTTTAGAACAGGGGTCGGCAAACTGCGGGCCGCGGGCCAAATGCGGACCGCGAACTTGATTTTTGCGGCCTTCGAACGACCCGATTTTAAATGCATGAAACAAAGATTGATCCTAATTTTTTATTGCCTCCACACGGATTCATATGGTAACTAGAGCTGCGTGCAGCTTCAACAGGCTTCCCGCGTAAAAAAAAATTTGCATTTTATTGCTAGCTGAGAACTTCTGCACATTTGAGGTGAATTTCAAGTTTGTAGGACCAATTTGAAAAAATAATAATAATAAATAAATAATAATAATAATAAAACACAGGAATACAATAGGTTCCCTGCTGACAAGCAGCGGGAAGCCTAACTAGTGCTGATGTACGGCGCTTGTTTTGTAATAAGTAGCGTCAGTTCTATATCATCTACTTGATGAACGCCGGTGGTTGTAATTGAAGGTTACGTTCATGTTTAAATTTAAAAATGTTTGGGAAACGGTTTGCGACGAAGTTCGAATATTTCATGTGCATGTTCGGAAGCACATATTGCTGTGAGCATCTTTATCTAAAATGCATTACACTAAGAATAAATTTTGAACTCGCTCGTCAGATCGTCATTTGGACGACATATCGATCGATGGGCAATGGAGCTGCCATTTGATTTTTACGCTTTAGCCATGACACAGAAACAACATCATCCTTCACATTGATAATAAGTAAATAAAAACAATGTATTGTTTGATAATATATTAAAAAAGCTTTTAACACAGCAATATAAGGTAGAAAGTGCGCCATAATTTGAAGTTTAATGTGGCAATTGTTCATAGGCGAAAATAATGCGGCCCGCACGCTACTAGAAATGTATATATTTGGCCCGCAAGAACATAAAGTTTGCCGACCACTGTTTTAGAACATATCGTTTATTTTATACGATCCTTACTCACACCCCGAACAAGACCAAGTACAAGCAGCCACTGGTGCTACTGTTATTTGGGTAAACCGGGATCTTTCCGGTTCGGCATCGACTACTCAACTCCTTACATCCTGAGTGAGGTGGGGGCATGGGGCTTACTCCCGAAATGTGCAATCTGTGATGCCAACATTACTAGTTCTTACGCCTCAAGACATTACACATAACGCATTATGTCTCAAATATAAATTGTGTGGCACTGCAGATATTATGTAGCTAACTAACTAACGGAAATAGAATTATATTTCATACCCAAAGCTTTTCTTTATCAAGCATCAGTTTCCTAGTAACTTTTAGTGAAAAAAAAAAAGATCAAGCCTAGCTGAAAAATTCAATTTTGAAACGTTTCGAAATCGTGTATATTGGAATATATGTTTATATTAAAAACAGACCTTTTTCGATGCGATTAAACAATATATAATGAAACAGCTAGTTTCAAAAATAAACCATCACCATATGTATTCAATTATCGTTTGAACGAAAACTCTAGCAAATAGATAGGTACTCGACCTTATCGGTTAATACGCATAAAGAGCGTGCTCCCAATCAAACTTTTCAAAATTTAGATTTATATCGCGGTTTTAAAAAAAAAAAACGATAAACGCCTTTAGGCCTCTTGAATACGTTAACAATCACGTGTCAGTTAGTTTTAGTTTTGGAAGATTTCAAAAGTGTGTACCAGGTTAGGGTTAGGCCATAGTTTTATTCCGATTTTATTTTTATTTTAGGTCTATACGAGTTCGGGGACTGTCTGTGTTAGCCAAGTGAATATAACCCCTGCCTGTAGGTTTTAGTCCCTTTACACAACTTGATGTAAAGTAGGCGAACAAACTTAGTTACCTCCATATCGGTACACATACTTATAGCGATGAAACAGGCTTGAAACATCAATAAACTTTCTTATGATATAGATTGGGTAACAATATTTTTGAAAATTTCAGTTCAGTTTTAAAAATAATTTTCGCGTCAGTATCAGTAACTTTATTTCAATATTTCGACGAAGCATAATTTCCACCAACATCAACATAATTTTAGTCATATGATATTTAGTTATTAGGCCCGTACGGGTTGACAAATAGAACTAGTTGCTTACAGTTGTAACTTATTAAATTTTCGTTGTTTTTTGTATTAAAGTAAAAATAATTCGTCGACGCGAAACAAATACTCAACAAAATACTCAAAAATAGATCGGAATATATAAGCGGATGTGTGGTCAGTTTTGAGTCAATTCGAACAGTTTTGGGAGCTGTAATTGACGATGTCCTATTAATGCAGATGCGTAGTGACGTAGTATATTGTATGGATTAAGGGAGCATGTTCTTAGTGAGTTCGATACAAAAGAGAACCTGTGATATTGTTCTCAAACGATTTCCCAATTGAATACTAAATTGCGTTCCTACCGCAAGTGATTTGAGGATATGTTCGCAGAACAATCAATCAGGAAGATTTTCTGATCACGATTTTTACAACTAATTCGGTTCCGAGAATCAGCTGGCAATTCGGTCGACCAATGCCAACGTATAGATTGAAACCAGAAATGAGTTTTAAGTTGATGAAATTTATTATATATACTAGAAATTTAATAGTCGCCAGAAAAACAGAAATCTTGTCAAACAGCTATTTATTTTATAAAGAATATTTTTACAAAGTTTTTCAAAAGCATTTTTCGCTAGAAGGCTATTACTTTTATTCATTTCAAAAATTCCTGTGCGCTCTATGGAATTTGTTTTTTTTGTGTGCGATGACGTTACCAAAATCATAAATTGTGGCGTTGCGGTATAGAGATGTGTTTATATTCATTAATGAGAATATGGAGACAGAATAGGCACTAGTGTTGCGTTATATTCAGCCGCAGGGTATAGATAACGTGTTATTGTCTGTTTTTAAATCTCATACCAGAATATTTCAAAAGTTTCGTGATTGAGCTCACATGTTTTGATGTTGACCAATTCTAATACTAATCTGATTTTTCCCGCGGCGCGCTTCGCATTTAGGGATTTTGACTACAACGAATTACTTCTTTGCCCGAATTTGATAAGTTAATCGATAAGAGGATCGGACCGTATTGCGGGATATATGCAATTTTGCGGAATTTGTAGTGAGACGTAAATTTTTACGCCTTCCAACAGCATTTTACTCTATTTCTTAACGAGTTACGGAAAACTTTTTCTGGCTTGCTGGCCTGTTGTCAACGATATTTTCACCATATTAATCAATACGCGCTTGTATACCTCTGACTCTGACAGCAAAGTCAGTCTGTCGAGAGATTCTTTAAGATAATGTTAGATATCAGTAGCTGATTTTATCTAGCCCTGTTGCTTTGGAAATTTTAGTGGTTGAAGATTGATTTTCCGCTAGAAGGCTATATCTTTTATTTATTTCAAAATTTTCTATGAATCCTATGCGATCTGAAATTTTATCCAAAATTACGCTGTATTACTGGGAACACTGTTTTTAACTTCTTCCAAACGGTTCTGTGATCGAATATCGGGCCTACAGGTACGGTACTGGTGAGTTACTTTCGGGGAATTGATGATAAAATATTTTGTTTTGCCCTCCGTGTCCATATATTTAGCATCGCTCTCTTGTTTCAAAACAAATACACCCTTGACAAAAGCTCTGTAACTCTCTGTTACCTTACCAATATTTCTGCTTCCAGCTGTTACCCCAGTGACGGATCCGAGATGTATTGCACCGCCCGCTGCTAGCGGTTGTGAGATTCAATGTGTGGAGAATGGCGACTGTGAATCTAGCGAATTGTGCTGCCCAGGCGGGGCTTGTGGGACGGTTTGCTTGGAGTTTGACCCATGTGACCCATCACCGTGTCAACACGACGGAATCTGCGTTGCCGACGGAAGAGATTTCACCTGTAAATGCAAACTTGGATTCACGGGAGCTTTTTGTCAATTGGGTAATACGATTTGGTGATATATTCCAACACTATATAAAGCTAGACCGGCGATTTTTTATGCGACAAATACTCACGACTCCGAAACTCTAACACTGAACAAGGGTCTATTCTATACAATCTGCCTCTGAAGCCAACATCATTATACTCTTTTTCTGAACGATTTACTGAAAACTTACTTTTCTGGAAAATGCGCGCTAGTATACATCTGATAACTTCGACAAGCGAAGTCAGTCTGTAAAGAGATTCCTTTTTAAGATATTGTTAGGTATGGTGGCCCATCGTTGTCACGCGTTAAAATTGAAAATAAAATTAAAATAAAATAAAAAACCGAAATAAAAATTGTTTGTAAAAAACATAAAAATAATTGAAAAAAAATAAAAAAAAAATTAAAATTAAAAAAAAATAAATAAATAAAACGAAAAAAAAACAAAAAAAAAAATTAAAAAAAAAAAAAATTAAAAAAAAAATGAATAAAAAGAAAAATAAAAAGGTTGACAACGATGGTCCGCTTCGTGGCCCATCGTTGTCACGCGTTTTATTTTTAGAAAATTTGCTTCTGCTTGGGACCAACGTTGTCAGCATAATCCTACGCGCACAAATGTGTTCTCTGGGTTTCAAACTCACTACTGATTTTCTTGAGCAATATTCAATATGAAAATGTTCTAAGATAAATTCTCCATGCTACAAGTTCAACAAGAAGTAAATATATTTATAATATGATAAGAGAATATAGAATTGAATACGAAAATTCGGAAAATTTGTTTTTACGTGTAATAGGTAATTTAATTGGAGAATGCTGCTTAACTACTCAGTTGTCTGGACACTCGCGATGCCGGTACCGTACCATCTTACCAAATACCGGTAGTCGGTTATAGTCGCTTTGGCGTCTGACACGTACCGGTAGCCATACAACTCACTCATGAAAGAATGGGAGATACGGATAGTCTCGTAGAATATAGACTACTGGAAACACTCTCTGCGCCTGCCCCATACCGTACAGCCGTAACGTACCGATCCAGACAAATGATAAATCGCCAGTGCTCAACCATTTATTTCAATCCATACCATGATCCTAGTAGAATATAGTGAGTCGAGGTATGGATTGAAATAAATGGTTGAGCACGGGCGATTTATCATTTGTCTGGATCGGTACGTTACGGCTGTACGGTATGGGGCAGGCGCAGAGAGTGTTTCAGTAGACTATATTCTACGAGACTATCCGTATCTCCCATTCTTTCACGAGTGATTGCATGGGTTCCGGTACGGTCAGACGGTACCATACCGGCATCGCACGAGTGTCTGAGCAGTTAAGCAGCATTTTCCAATTAAATTACCTTCTACACGTAAAAACAAATTTTCGTATCCAATTCTATATTCTCTTATCATTATTATAAATATATTGCTTGTGGTTGAACTTGTAGCATGGAGAATTATAGAACATTTCATGTTGAATTTATAGGATATTGCTCGTGAAAATCAGTAGTTGAGTTAGAAACCCAGGAAACACATTTGTGCGTGTAAGGATTAAGCCTGACAACGTTGGTCCAAGCAGCATCAATTTTTAAAAAATAAAAACGCGTGACAACGATGGGCCACGAGGCGGACCATCGTTTGTCAACCTTTTATTTTCTTTTTATCCAATTTTTTTTTTTTTCAATTTTTTTTTTTTTTTTTTTAATTTTTTTTTTAATTTAAATTTTTTTTTCAATTTTTTTTGTTGTTTTGTTTTTCAATTTTTTTTTTAATTTCAATTTTTTTTTTTTTTTTTTTTTTAATGTATTTTTATGTTTTTTTACAACTATTTTTTATTTTCGCTTTTTCATTTTATTTTTCATTTTTTTTTAAATTTTTACACGTGACAACGATGAGCCACTAGTTATGTATTCAGTGGCTTGCTTTTATCTGGCCCTGTTGTGGAGTGAAAGGTACGAGTAAGCGTCATATTGCAACGGGAATTTTCTGGTTCGGAATTGCCTAACCTCAATTTAAAACACCCCTTGGTGAGGCCCAAACAGTTGAGTTTAAATTAACCGCTGGGCCAACGGCGTCACCACAATTGTCAGTATTTATGTCAATGTGTTATATTTTTTTGGACACGAAATGGGCCTATAGATCGTTTTGTTTATTTGTTCTTTTTGGTAATTTTCCTTCTTATCGTTATGAAAAAAAATCTCTTCTTTAACTACTGGACCAATTGCTAATTTTCTAGCAGCTAAAGATTGTATTTATCGCGCTTGAAGGCTATTATTTTTGTGTCAATATATTTGAGCATAGCTCTCTTGCTCATTCGGGGTATGGTTTGATAAAAAAATATTACTGATCTCCACAATTTGTTTTTAGATTTTATGCCAAACACATGTTGAGACAAGTTATGTTGTACATTTTCGTCTCGTAGATTTTAACAAGATTTTAAGATAAACGAGAGAGCAACGCTCAAATATACGGACACGAAAGTTAAAAACGAAGTAGTATCAAAGTCTTTTACGGTCTGTAATCTGACCACCAACCAGACCATTGCAATGTGACCACGTAATCACAAGATTTTCAAGATAAACGAGAGAGCATGCTCAATTTACGGACACGAAATTAAAACGAAGTAGTATCAAGTCTTTTACGGTACTGGTGTCTGACACCAACCAGATCATTGCAATGTGACCACGTAGTTCGACACGCAATTTTTAATTTTACGACGTCATCACACAAAACTTCGAAGTAAAAAACGAATCCTATAAAGTCCACAGTTATTTTAAAATAAATAGAAGTAATAGCCTTCTGGCGACAACAACGAGATTTAACCACTAAAAATCTAAAAGCAATTATTCAAGTAGCTGAAGAGAAAAGCGATTTTTCACAACAACGACATAATAACAGCGATCGTGCGGTTCATTGCGTGTACAATGATGAAGTCGTCAAACTGTAAAAGCGTCGGTTCATTGATAGACATTGGCGCAAAAACACAGTATTTTAAATTAATAGTATGATATTGATATTGCTGCAGCTGATGACGTAGAAATTGATCCCAAATGTCCAGAACCAGATCCCGTGGTATGTGTAAGAATGGGTGACATAGAATGTCTAAACAACGACGGCTGTGAAAGCAGAGATATATGCTGCGCTGGTAGCTGCGGAGGAACTCAATGCATCGAAGAACCTAAGAAAAAGGTTCCAGGTATTCACCATATTTATTCAACGAACTTCGCGGACACATTAAAATTTGACTTAATCATACTTCAGAATCAGGTTGCAAAAATTTGAAAATTTTGATTATGTGTGGTCGCAAATTTTTGTTCTGTTTTCACAGATTTGCTCAAGACACTTGCTCTAATAGCCTTACTGTCTCGACCCAAACAATGCCCGAGTGACTGCTTACATACGGCTTGTCGTACTGGACATATCTGCCCCACGCATATCTACGCCACTTGTGGCACTACCTGTCCCGATTGTCGTCCACGTTTCTATACTAAATGGAATCAAGATATATCGTCACTTTGTAAGTCATTTTTCAGTTTATTGTACATTTTCGTGTATTTTTATCCATTTGTGATTTTTGTGAATGTATTATGACAAACTTAAATTATCGTCATAAAAATTTGAAGGTTGTTGAGAGATGAAAAACTGTATTTTTCCAGTTAATTTTTTCAGAGAATGAATCGTTTTTGAAGTACTAGTCTTTTGCTTCATCACAAAAAAAATTAAAATTAGATTGCTTTGCGATTGTGAGGTAACATTTGATTTTAAAAACAACCTGATTTATATATTTTAAAATGAACATTTATTTCACAACAGGCCAATGTCAATACCGTGTTCCGCTAGTTTCTCATTGTGGAATGCATTTATGCACCCAGTCTCATTGCTATGGAAACCCCGCTTTGGAATGCAGAATCAGCAGCTGTGGAGGATGCAGGGCCGGATATTACGACATTTACGGTCGTGAAATTCTATCTTGCAGTCAACCACATAGAATAGCGGTCAAATATGTCCATGGGTAGTGTCATCTGTGATGCAAATTCCAATTTGTAACCGGATAAACCGTTTCTTTGATTAGATTTATAGGTTCCATTCGTACCTCATTATTTACAATGTATAATACACAAGACACCATGGTGGCTATTCACGAAAGCATGCTAACTATTTAAACCAGGTGTGTGCAATCTTTAATACACGAGGGCTAAATACAAATATTTGGGTGAAACCACAGGCACCTTAACCTAACATAGGCGGCTTTCTTGTAGTCGCAGACACAAAAATTTTGGTTATCAATCTTGTGACATGCGTTATTCTCTTCGCATAAGCTCAGATATAGGCTTTACAACGCGAAGGAATTGGAATTACTCGCAAGTACTAGATTAAACTAAATTTAAACTTGTCCGCGGGCAGTACACCATTCAAAAATTGGCAAGTTTTCTTTGTGTGCCGCATTTGACTCGCGGACCACAGGATGCACACCCTTGATTTAAATCAAGCACTCATATTCTTATAAAATCCAGCAGTGCAATTCAGAGAGCTTGGTTACAAGTTTAATAGTTTTCAGTCTCATCGCTATTTTTTTCATCTTGCACTTAGAAGAAGAGAATTTGTCCCCAAAATGTTGATATTTAAATAAGGTGAACAAATTTGAGCATACGGTAATTTACCTGTTTTTGGAAATAAATTTTAAGGGGTTCAAGTTTGATTGGTACAAACATTGTTATATTATTTTAAAGTAAGCGAGACGTGAGCACAAATTCGAAATGAAATTTTTAAAGGATTGAATTAATTGAAAGATAGAAGATAGAAGAAAGTCCACCAGACAGAGCAATTTTCTAAATGAACAAAATTGAGGTGACAGGAGTCGTCCACAACCAGCAGTTATTTTATTAAACGCTGATACTAAAATAACCTTTCATTTGGGTGGAGGTGAAAACCACAATTCTGTGTGTCATCATCTTATCATGAACCACCAAGAGTCACCGGGTGATTCATTCAATGCATACGTGCATTGATGAAAAGCACGATCAATGACACGATTACGAACTTTTGACTCCATCCGGGCTTAGTTTAAGGTCGATGTCTTACCGTTTGTTAATACAATATAAACAGACAAGACTTGTCATATATATCATAAGACTATCATACACAAACTATCATAAGGTCGAGTATTCAAATTAACATCCCGTAAAATAACAAATATTGTATGGTTAATTGAATGAGTCATTTTCTCACAAATTCAATTCAACATTCAAGAAAGTTCCCGCATTGAACTGTTACGTCATCGTACTCAAACAAATACACAGTATTAGAATAATTCATCATCATTATACGTACATTTTGACTTTATTTAAAATTGGATATACCGTGAATGAAATAAAACAGTTCTATTCGTTTTTTTTCACCTCAAAACTTCAATTTTTTTTTCAAAAATCAATAAAGAAGGTGTATCGTGAGCATCAGTGATCACTAAAACAAATAAATATTTACACATCAAACAGTAAAATGAAACTTTCATAATTTCCAAAAAATATTTATCTGCTCAAATAACTGAAAATAGGTGAAAATTTCCTAAAGCAGTCATTTTAGAACTGTGGTTCTAAAACGGCGTGGCGCGCCCCAGAAATGGTGCGTCGATATTTTTTGAGGGGACGTGAAGCTAATTAAAAAAAAATTTATTTGTTATATCTGATATTATTTTGAATTTTTACGTTTCGTTCCACCCACGCATTTGTAACGCGTTTTTTTTTAAAACATACTTTCGGTTTACTATCTGTTATTTGTAGCTTATTGCTAGCTAGGTATTTTTGAGGTGGGGCACGAGACATAACAAATTCTAAAGGGGGGCGGCCCAAAAAGTTTGAGAACGACTGCTTTAGAGGTAATAACTCAAACTTCTTCTTCGTTGGTTTTACATTCAGTAACATTACTTGAATTTAAATTCATTTCCTTGTGTTTTCCGTCACAGCATTTGCAAAGTGGAAAACACGGCAACATCCTATCTTTCCAGTCGTCAAAGCAAAAAAGCAGACACCACAAGTTAAAAGCTACATTCACATTATAAACCACCGATAATCCAAATTTAGATAACACAACAAATGCGAGAATGTCGCTTAAAATCGTTATAGGAGTAATTATCATCGATCTTTTTAATAAGTTAATAGACTTCTGTTGTAATCTTTGACCTTTGAAAGATTTTTTCAAAGTTTTTTTGTGACGAAATAACGGGATTATAAACAATGCAAGAGTACAAATTTGGGTTTCAATTTGATAAAGAAGAAAACAAAATGTTATCCATGTTGGTAAACAAGTCAATCTTATCACATTATTTTGAATGCCATAATATCCAATAACAATACTCAAGAACGAATTGAAGAATAACATGAAAAATCCTTGAAACCGACTGAAATTATGCAACGGTTTTGATGAAAGATGCCTCAAAGATGCTTCGCTGTGAAACATTGTCTGCCGAAGCCACAATATGAGATACTCCGATGTAAATGCCCACTGTGATAGAAGTACGTCAGCTATATAAATTGGGCTGTTGATATTTCGATGAAACATAAACACCGCGACCATTTTAGATAAGGCAACTAGGCCAGTGAAAACAAGTGTTAAACTCAATACAGATCGAAGGTTCGATGCCAGCAAAAGGTCAGTGCATTTCCCAAGTTGAAGTTTGAACAATCTCTTCGAAATAAGAACGTAGATCTGACAGAACGTTATGTAAATCAAAATTATTGTTACGACTATGTCCACATAGAATTTCTCGTTGAGTACATCTTCAAAGGGTTTAGAGTAACTCATGGAATTGTTCTTTGAGCAGTTCATACTTAGGAAAACCAGGGTTGTTGAAATCTGGATGAAAGTCTTCTTTCACTTTCTCGTTAGTAACAGAAATTTAATATCAACTGTGAAGTATGATTAAATATATTATAGATGGCAATCAACTGGATATTAATTGCTCAAAGTTGCTAATATATTTCTGTATTATTACCATCAAGTAATAGTACTTAAGTTTTTCCACTAAACAGAAATAAAATTTGACTCAAAATGAGAAAGTTGCCGTGAAAGATTGATCAAATTTCAGCGTCGCGTTTATGCGCAAAATTGAAATTGTTTTACTTTGAATTTCAATGTTCCTAGCCAAATCGGGAGTAAGAGCAATTGTTGTTCGAGTACGCTGCGAATGACGTAGAAAGTCACGTGACTCATACCACCTTCATATTTCCCAAAACGTTTGCGAATGGCTACTTTAATACCTGGTCAAATATAAGTATCCTTCTGAGATTAACGAAACACGTGAAAAAAAAATAATAATTCTTACTAAAAACGCTAGATAAATTTTGCATGTATTACAACAATTTATCGCAACGCAAATATTACTTGATGATTGATACAAGCGAGTGATTACTCAGACAGGGTGGGCAAATGAAAAACAATATTTCATGAATTAAATAATTCATGAGGAATTTGTAATGTGGAGTTTTTTTCCTAACCCTGGTTGATTCTCGAAAACAATAAAATACGAAATGTGCGGTATTTGGTTATTGAAGAGCACAAAATTTTTAAAGAAAATGTTAGAAAACAAAATGTTGAAAGCTTTATTATTTCTCATTCGTCGAATTTCCTCCTGTTAATCTGTTTCCTTACAGTTCTGGATAAAGGTTACAAATTTATTCTAATGTATATTTGTTGCGGCAGTAAATCTATAATACCAGTACTTCAGTAATTACTTTACTGTATATATTATTTATCCCCAGTAGGCGAAGCTTGCATTGGCAGATTAGGAAAAAGAAAACAATAAAATAAATCTAGTTAACCCCTTGCTTGCCTCATGCAAATGAGATATACAAAGTCTAGTTATTGCTTGCATCAATATTGAAGCAAACTGAAGGCATGTCTATAATAAGTCTATGTATATATATAAAAAGCGGACGTAATAAGTGACTTCCGTGATTACAAAATGCCTAGTCACTTTTAAACATTGTCTCTTTATCCCACTCATTCAGGTAACACAATAGGCGGATGTGTGTACGTCAGTTATTTGAGCATTGGAGAATCGAGTCGCGTATCTGCAACAAGGGCGTGTCTAGGGTATGGTAGCCGTGGCTTGTACCATGGGCGAGTTACCCATGGGCGACCACTCCCCAGTTTGAAAATAGAAGTGCCATAGATAGTACTTTATTTTCTACGTTGTAATAATCGTTTGATTTCCTGAAGAATCCTCAAGTTTATCCGTTGTCCTTACTTGACTAAATACCAGTATTATCAATAATTGAAGGCTTTAATCGAGGCAAATGACTTTTTTAGAAGTGTACATTGGACTGGTAGCCCTCGGCTTAATCTGTACCCAGAAAGTAGCCATCGGCTTCGAAAAGATTGTGACTCCTGATTTAGAGAAACTGTTAGAATTGTTCTTTGAGCAGTTCATATTTGATTCCGTGTTTCGTGATAAAAATCTAGATTTCAGCTACGAATCGAAATTTTGAACTGACAATTAATGAAACAATCTGTCAAAACGAATCAAACGATTAATAAATTTTGGGGCCGTGTAGACAAATGTTCTAATTATGGTAACTCGCAACCAGGGGCGTGTCTAGACGGAGCCATAAGGGGCAGCCGCCCCGGCAAGCCATGTTATAGTAAGTTTGTTGCACAGTTTTGTTGATTTTAATAAAAATAATTACTGTACAATATTTCACTCTTACCTGATTTTCAATTTATTCATTTCATTTCTAACAAACATCTATAATTTATTTATCTTTCAAATTATTTATGAATTTTGGGACAAGGAGCTTCATTATCAGAAACTCGCCCCGGGTAGCAGAGAAGTTTAACACGCCTCTGCTCGCAACAAGATATAGATACTTCTCTGAAACGTTGTTCGAACAGAATGTCGGAGAACATTTCATAAAAATTTGAAAGTATTTTCCAATCCTTGCTTTCCTACACTATGCCAGGTATAAAATCTTAATTATTGGAAATATCACATTTTGATTGATAATATCTTGTTTCTTAAATATTTTCATTCAAATACAAAATTGCTCAACAAATTTATCAAACACGATTTTTAAATAACTTTCTGCTTTTCTTCACCAATAGAATCCATGTATTAGCTCATATCTCACATTGTGTGGATTGCAAGACAGAAAATTATCTTCGATTGTAATCAAAGTTTTTGATTTCATTATTCTTCGTTATCATTACCATTATGTCGATTACCAAATATTTATCACAGACTACAATAGCAGAAACAGCCAGAAACGAATACATATATCGAATATATCTTATATAATTTTCATGTATCATAGAACCTAGTTTGCATTCATGAAGTACAAAACTTCAATAAACTTTTATTAAATACAAATTTTATCGTGACGTCGCGAAAGTATAGACACAAATAGAAACTTCTCAATGAGTAGGCCTTAGCATATTAGAGAAAGATGAATCACAATCGGACTCGTATATTGAAATACAATGAAATTTTTGCAATCCGAATTAGAAAGGTACTGATGTAACGATATCGGTCATTTTTTGGTATCGGTAATTGTATCGGTACCGGCTAAAAATATACCGATATTGTCGATATATTCAGGTCTCTGATTTCATGTAGAATGTATTGAGGTACAAGTTAGTTTACAATTATTGGCAACTGAAATGATGT